AAATCTCTTTATTAAATAAAATTAATAATCGTTTTATTTCGATGACGTTGTTTTCGTAATCGTTGCAAGCCAAGATCGAGATTAAAATATGATTAATTGCACAGCCCCAATTCATCTTTGGCTGTTTTCTGGTGATTTTTTTGGTGCCATAAACCTCTGACTTTATCCTTGTGCATTGAACGCACCGTGCATATTTTTGGTCTTAAATTATCGTTTAAGTTTCAGCAGCTGGAATAATTCATCTCTTTCTAACAAAACAAACTCCAATATATATTTTTAGGGATGTCCCGATCACCTTTTTTTGCTTCCGATCATTTGATTTTGACAATTTGCCTATACCGATTTTTCCCGATCCGATCTTTATGCAATGCATTAAGAGAAAAAAAAGCATTCAAGTTGTCCATTAAGGTTATTTTTTTATTTAAATTGGATATTCTATCCAACATGGATATAGCTTCTTTCTTTCACAGCAGCATTGGATCAGTTCAGTTGTGCAGCATTGGATCAAAACAAAATAAAGCTTTCAGTACTCGTTAGCTTACTGCTACAATTAGACACTGCGCCCTGCCCACTCTGTTGCCAGATTTGAGAGAAATGAAGCAACCAGGTCTATGAAAACAAGCCCCAAAGAAGCAACACATACATGATGTTGTGTAATTTGAAACCAAAACTAAGGCCTCAGGATGACTTTAAGACTTGAACATGGTCATTTTTGTTTTGTAACATTGAATAAAAAAAAAATTAAAAAAAATCCCGATCCCCGATTTTTTTCTCCCGATTCCGATCTTTTGAAAATCACGTGATCGGCTCCGATCCCCGATCACGTGATCGGATCGGGACATCTCTACTATTTTCCATCGTGTATGTTTTGGTTAATCTCTGGGTACATGTGCAACTGCGATATTATATAATATCATTTTGAAATGTGTGCTCCACTTAAAGTGCTAATCACATCAAGCACTTCCTAAACTAACAGCCAGCTACAGGGGAGGGATGGAATAGAATAGAAGCCTGTCAATTGTTTTAAATGTAGCCGTTGGAGTCTAGTAGGAGTAGAGGAGTACTTTTCAACAGATGGGAAACATGACTGTTAATTCAGGTGAAGAAGAACCTTATTTTAAGTCCTAGTTGTTTGCAAAGATCTGCACATTAGCAGACATTTAGCACAGCATGGAAGTGAAAGCACTCTAGATATATAGAATAGAATGGGAGGGATGAACCCCTCTTTAATGGTGACACAGCACATTGAAATGTGTTCTCTGCTCTTAACCCATCCTAGTTCCAGGAGTCTAGAACTAGGAGCAGTGGGCAGCTATTGTACAGCGCCCAGGGAGCAATGGGAGTGGGGGGGGGGAAGGGGGTTGTCCGGTGCCATGCTCAAGGGCACCAGGGTAGGGCCCAGGAGGTGAACTGGGACCTCTCCAAGTAGAAGTCCACACTCCATGTTTAGGTCTGTTCGGGGACTTGAACCGGCGACCCTACGGCTCACAGTCCAAGCCCCTACCGACTGAGCCACTGCTCTGTGATTTAAAAGTGAAAGTGCAATCAAAGTATTTATTTCTTATCAGCCGTTCCCTACTGGAAACATAAATCTAGTAATTCACCCCCCCCTCCGAAAAAAAACCGATTGGGAATTACAGAGTGATTAAGAAAGCAAAACTAAATCTGAAACCAGACTTCTGTGTTTTATCTTCTTGCATGTACTGTCCGGAATTTCTGTTTTATCCTCAAGGAACTCTCACGGTTCAAGGCTTTTATTAGTCATACGTACATAGCTACAGTGTTGTTATGACGATGACAATCTTAGGTCACAGGCTCCTCCAACAGTGCAACACAATAAAACAGGAAACCAGAAAAAATATAATGCAAGTAAATACAAAAATAGTGAAATAGTGCAATAAGAGTCTATATACTAGTGATTGGAATATGATATAATTTTGGCAGGAATGTGATTTAATTGGCAGTAACTCATTTTCTAAGCCATATTGCAGGTAATCCAGAGTGTTTTTGATAAAGAAGAGTCATTACAGCTGCAGATTTGGTGTTTGGAAACAGATGACCGACCTTCTCACTGAAGGGTTACGATGACCTGCCAAGACGTGTCTTTATTTAATTTGTCTTGAGTCTCTCTTGGACCTGAACTAACCCTAAACTCATCTGTACATGCTGTGGGGGAAACTTCTGAAGCAATTGGAGTCAGGACTCAGAGAGAGACACGATGGAGAGCTGGAGCTTTGATGTCAAACACTGACAGGTTTATTTAGGAGCTTCGGCCGGAGAATTCACAAAACAAGTCAAAGAGCCAGAGGTTCTGACTTCACGGTAGAGTTGCCACGTCAAATCTGAAGAACTCTCCCCCAGACCCGTGTATTTAGCTAGTTCAGAGGGATGCTGCATAACAAGATAGAATCATAACACGTCTATCAGCTGACGCCAACAGGGAGGAACAGGGAGACAGAACACTGAGAGCACAGCAGCCAAGGTTACAGGTGCGTGTGCTCAGTCAGGACAGTAGGCCAACTATGGCCGCTAGGGGATGCCGAAGTTGTCCACAGGTTGCGGAGGGATGGGAACGAACTTGACTACGGTGACGCAGACACCTAGTTTTCACTTTCACGTCAGTTTCAATAAATTAAGACATAGTCAAACGCAGGGAATGACCTTTAGTATTTAGATACATTAGCAGTGAGGGGATGTTTTTTTGGACTAACCCTTCATGGTCTTCACTAATTCTTTGTTTTGATTTAGAACTTTTGGTCTGAAAACACAAAAATAGAAGAACGTACAAGTGACAGCTTTCAAGACAGAGATAAGGAGTTACCTTGAGAGTGCCAAGTTCCGAAAAAAAAACTAGGGTATGCATGTATGACGATGTCACAACAATAACATGGCTACTAGTATAGAGATTCCAGTGTAACCGAGGAGGTTGTGCACGTTGTGTTAGTTGTCCTTTGGTCTTTTTCATAATTAACGTTCATATTCATAAGTTTTTATCAACGTTAAAGTTCATCAATATATACGATACGTAACCTTATACTATATTAGAAACCGGGTCCTTACACTAAATTAACCCGTCATTGAAGTAAAAGATTCGTATAACGTCCATTTAGGTTCACAAAAACTATTTCTTCTCAGTCATTGTCGACGTCTAAACCACAACCTTTGTCTACCGGCTGGAAAGGAGTGACTTCCCCAACTGCTACTTGACTGTCTCTGCAACAGAAATAAATTAAACAGAAAACTCAGA